AGGAGCCCATAGCAGAGACTAATGCCATCGACTAGGATCATGCAGCAAAAAGAACCAAACACCACCAACCAGCCCCATCCGCCATCTGGCGCAGAGTCAAGCACGTAGTCCACTAACCGGACGAAGGGAGTTAGAACGAAGGGATTAGAAATTGCAGTGGAAAAACGCAAAAGTTTCGCGGGGAAAGTGATAGAAAGTGGCAGACACCTTTATTTATTTCTAGGCCTGTTAAGGAATCAGTACTTACAACAATCAAAAAAATAGCTCATTTATTTGCAGGGAAAACGTTTCATATTTATTAAAATATATTGAGAGTGTGACTTGGCGTAAAATTTACTTCGACCAGACGGGTCCTAACATAAAAGCAAATATAGAAAAGCAGTTTCCCAAGTGCATTGCTTCCAACGGAACTCTAGAACTTTTGAGCAGAGGGGCTAGTCAATTTCCGTCAATCTATCATCACATATAATAAATTCTTGGAGTAGTCGAAGTGGGAATTCTATGTAGATGGAGTAGAGCTTTCCGTAGTATCACCAAGTCCATAATTTTCTGGTCTTACATAAAACCTATCCAACCACTAGGACGCACACTCAGAGGCATGTGAAAGTCAGCTAATAAAATCTCTGGGCATTATCACTGAAAAAACGCATTTTGGCGGTAAGAACACTCGCGGATAATTATAGCTGTAAGCTTCAAACACCAGAAAATAACAAAAGCGCTTGCACCCAGTGGTGCATCATTGTCACTCCTATTATTATTAGCGACTGGAAAATTAAACCCTGCTCTACGTCGTCTGTTGCTTAAATATTACGACATTTTGTGCACTAGACAGGATGGTAGCGTAAACTCGTACTTAGAAGACAGGCACACACCTGCACCGGATATCAAAGATAAAAAGTAGGCTTGAACGATGAACGGAAAGCTTACTTTGTTCACCAGTGATGGACCTCTTGCCCCCTGCACTCACATTGGTGTTAGCTGATGGTCCACTACGTACAGGTGGCTGCTGTTGAGGATAACCAGGCTGAAACTGACTACCAAATGAAACCTGCGATCCAGCTACTTGTGAAGGTTGTTGTCCAGAGAGCCAGGATGTTTGCTGTTGACGAGGCTGAGATATATGCTGATGCATTTCCTACAACAAAAGAACATTAGCTAAATTTCCTGACAATAGAGTAAGTAAAGGCCAGTCTATAATGGGAAAAATTTTAAAGGGACACTGGGGAAAACATGATAGGAACACTGTCACGTACCTGAAGAAATAGACGAAGATCCTCGCTCCTAGTTGTTTCTTCATTGGCTTCTAGCTGCAGCTGTTCTGCCTCTTCTTTGCTCAGAGGACCAAAAACCTTTTCATCGACATCACTCTCCGCTTCTTCGGGTTCGTCTTCCTTCTGGTCAGTGTCAGTATTTTCCGGGTGAATCTTTCGAAGCATACGAGGATCGCAGATTCCCGAGTGAGAAACACCGGTTTTCCTGGTCAAGGGAGTTGGTTGTTCCTTGTCTGGAGTCTTGGGGCCGTTAACGTTACCGTTAGTAAGTGGATTGTCCTGTAGATTTGAACTGGAGACGTTGGCATTATATGGTTCCATCGTGCCGTTCGTGGTAACCACCAGTGGGGATGACATTGCGCTGTCTGATTTTCTTTGTCGATGTTTGAGCAAGTCTCGAGATGGTCTGGTTAGCCAACAGAGGCAGGGCGCCAGAAACAAAATCCAAACAAGCAAGTAAATATATTGGTCCACCATAGTCTCGAGCCAAATCATATAATGCAAAAAGATAACGACCGGTTGAAGTACAAA